ACCTTTAGAATAAAATAGTAAACCGTGCCCATCCACTCAGATTGGATGCAACCAATTAAATAATCTTTAGCGCTGTCAACATAACAGAAACTCACTCGGCAAATTGCCAGAGAACTAAGCTCTTTACTGTAGCCACTGAAAACAAACTGGGGTAATTAAATAGTATCTTACTCAGATTTAAGACTTGCAAAAGATAGAACAAGTTATGTATGAATGATTGAAGATTGATGTACACACAATGAAAATACTAAGATGCACTGTGGCTCTTAAATCAAGCAATCAGACTCATGCAGGTTTCTCATCATATATCTATAGTATTAATAGTATAATCTGAGCTGTAACACTGCACAAGGGAGAAGACGTTATGAAAGTATTCTTTGGTTTACTCAAGAAATGTGAGTAACTCTACAGCAACCATCCAAACACAACTTTATGTAAGATTATTCCCAACAGGCTTTGTTTGTAACAGGAAGCTCTTGTTCCACTCGAGCAACAAACACACTGAACAATCATCAACAACATAACACTTTTTTATAGAAAATATACATCTAATAAATAAGGGATAAACCCATCGGATGGTAGCGAACGGTTGTTTTTTCACATGCTTTTTGTCCATCAGTCCTTAGTGAAATACGTCCGTGTGTTGGAAAAGGAGAAGCTGGTTTAATGTGGAGGAGAATGGATTTCTGCGATCATCAATATTCATCCTCCAGCTGAGCGTCCAATTAACCTGCGGAGGCAATCAATTAGATGGACTGCCGCAGAGTGACGGTGACACAGGAGGCAATTCGGAAATCATTTCATTCCTACAGTCTTGATCAAACCAGACACACTGACAGAGTAGAAAAACTGTTTTCCCCTCAATGTATGTGAAAGTTCAACTGAGGATACATGTATTTCTTGCTCAGCAGGGTCGTATATCCAGGATTTAAAGAAAAAACTCAGGTCAATAATAAATGTTTTGGTCAGATGCCAAGATACTGTCTCTCAATGTTCAAAAATAATTCAGATTAGTCATATTGTTCCAGAAAACTAGATATTTATACTCAAATAATCTAGTTCCTGGTTATATAAAAGTCTCAATTTAATGAATACTTTTCTTTAAAGCAAGTTAAAAGTATTATTAATGGGAATGACAATGGTAGCTATGGACCTGCTGCTCAGGAAGTAAAGACAAGTATTACTCAATCATGGAAAGGCTTTTTGAGTAGAGTCCTTTGAAAGAGAATCATGGAAATCTGTTGTCCAAACAGAGCGGCCAACTGCAGATGTGCAGTTGGCCTGTACAGCTGCATATTCTGGGCATATGGCACATATTACTGAGTCACTGTATGCTTCAGACTGTCAGAGCAAATTTGGAAGTCATTGTTTGTGCATTTACTGAAAATCAAAACCTGGCTTTGAACTGCTGAGCCTGAACAACTCACTGAGAGTGGCAAATGCAAAATATATAGCATATTTTCATGTTTCCTGTTGTAATTACACAACAGTTCAAATCTATTTCCCTCTGATCAAAGACACAAAGACCCTCCATGCATGAAACATCAAATCTGCCTGGGTTCATGTGAAGGATTTTACCTCCAGTAGTCTGTCAACATTTTCTTTCATCCCTTTATGGTGAGTAGTGTGTAACCTTTGATGCAGACAGATGTCCTTTCATTGCACAAATAATGATATAATTACACTACATGGGGGTTTAGTTCTGTTTCTCACTGCTTAACGGCATGAAGACCCTCCATGTATGAAATATCAAACCTGCCTTGGATGGAATGGATATCCAGAACATTCTTCATGTGGAGGATTTTACCTCCAGGAGTCTGTTAAACTTTTCAAAGTAAATCCACATTGTGCATTGTTTCGTCTCCTTTGATGCGAACAGACTTCCTCGGTCATTGCATAAATATCCAAGGAGGACTAAAAGGAAACTGTAACCTTGGTCCTTTTTTGCAAGGGGGTCCCCAGATGGCCCCAGAGCCAAGAACCCCGCGTGCATTTCGCTTCCTCTGCACCTGAGATGGTGCACCAATATCCTCCACAAGTCACGCGACGTTTGGAGAGCTGCGCACCGTCTTCTGACCGTGAATCTGACCGGGCATCTGCACCACCAGCAGCTGCTGTTTCTGCCGGGTGGACTTCACGGCAAGGATCGCCTGCCGGTTCTTATACTGCACCATCTGAAGGGTGATCTGCGGCATCCAGCCCTCGTCCTGCGGGCACCTGAAGTCGATCTCCTTCCCCTCCACCATGACCACGGTGAAGTAAACGTATTTGCCTTTACGCTCCACGCAATCCACGGTTTTCATGTTGGCGAAGTGCAGCTCTTTCACTTTCCCTGTGTCTCCTCCACCTCCACCTGGACCTCCATGCTCGTGTTGTTTGGGCTCGTGCTGTTTGGGTGGCAGCAGCAGCACCCCCTCCTCGGTCAGGACGCACCGCTTTTTCTTCCAGAGCTGCAGCAAGCCGTCGCTCCTCTTCTCCAGCAGACCCTGCTTCAACACCACCTTCATGCCGTTTTCCAGCATCTTTCTCCCGGAAACTGAAGGCTCCCTCCTCCCGGTTAGAGGATAAATGAATAAATGGATGAATGAATGGATGTTTAACCCAGAGCTGCTGCTGAGACTGCGGTGCTGCTGTTGTGGGGGTCTGTCTGTCTGTCCGTCAGTGTGTGTGTGTAAGCGTGTGTGTGTGAGGGGTGGGTTTGAGGTGGGAGGGTCTGCTGGAGGTGCACCGCCCCCCTCAGACACAACCAGTCCTATCATTTTTTTGAAAATGTGCATGTTAAGAGTATACAAATAATATATTGATAAAAGTCACCGTTTTTTTTCCTTTGTTTTTTCATCGCAGGTTTTTGTAACCGTAAGCACTTTGTAGCCTTCCTTATACACGTGCTATACAAATACAGCGATTATAAAAAGGCACTAATTCCCAATACACAGAACAACCCCTTATAGCCTGCAGATGGAAATGAGCTATAATCTGGCATAATTCATATCTTCTCTTTTCTGAGATTAATGTATTTGTATGCATGGTCCTTGTTGAAATAAATACATAATAACGGAGC